TTGAACAAACAGGATTTCGTATAATTTCAAACTTTTTGTCTATAGTGCTGAATTATGGGAAGTACCATGATTACTGGTTATACCCACGAAAACTGTGACTGATTCAAGACAACAGTTTTGCTTTCTGACAAAAAGAGGAAATACCACAACAATTATTTCTCTCGAAGGAGAACAGTCATTCATCTTTTTACTTGTCTTACTACAAAAGAGTAGTATTAAAATGTTTTTGTTTTCAGGATGGAGCAATCGAATTTCATGAATTCATCAGGGCATTATCGATCACGTCTAGAGGCAATTTGGATGAAAAATTGCATTGTTAGTCATTTGTGGAATTCAAGTTTTTGAGTTTTTAGCGCATACTAATTTTTAAAACAATTAGCCAACGCATCGACTGCCGATGCGAGGATGTGTTTTTTGCATATTTCCTCGCAGTTTTTGTCGCTTCCGGCACCGGTTTTTCTGGCAAATGCTTCTAGCTAAAAGAATTGAGATTGGCCGCCAGGACAGTCAGGAAGCATCCTTTTAAAGTTTCAGCTTTCTCGCTTTCCTGGTTCCCCAGTTAAAATAACTCACAGCAAAAAACTTCCACGGGCTAGTAAATAGGAACCACGCATATCTGAGGGCTGAATTTGAACTCATTATGGACGAGGAATACCCCTTCAAAGTTCCAGTCTTCTAGCTTTCCAGGTTCTCGAGTTAACAACCCACCCGAAAAAACTTTGGACGGCCCATACGTGGTACCACGCACACTCGAAAACCGGTTTGAAGCTCATTAGGACTTACGTGGACGGGGAATATCCCCTGGAAATTTCAGCTTTCTAGCTCTACTGGTTCCCGAGTTAGCGATTTACCCGCAGAAAACTTTCACGGGCCCGTATGTGGGTACCACGCGGGTAAGATCGCCCATTTTGAGAATGAAGGCCCGTACATGGTTGTAGATTAAATTCCCAAAGTTTCAGCCCTGTAGTTTTTATAGGTCTCGAGATGAAAAATCGGTACAGACGCTCAGCGCACACACAGACAACCTCTCACCAATATGCTTTTTCTGCATTGCTTAGCTGCAAGAAACGCATAAAAGAGTGGCTTTCTCTCGATCTTTTTTCCAAAGAAACAGCTTGCAGCTTCAAAGAATTCTTTCAAATTGACTAAATACATCGTTCTTTTTTTGCACCGATCCACACATTACAAACAATTTACAAAACAAAAGTGCACGACAAAATTAAAGAATGAATAATTTGCAAAGCAAAAGTCTGAAAATTGGCTACTTCGAAGTTTTAGAATCGAAGCCAGTCATTTGCATACTGAGCCTTCTAATTATGCTTAAATGATTTGTAAGATTGCTAATGTACTGTTCCACCTTCTATGGGAGAAGCATTCCATCGTTCATTCGTTTCGATGGTAAATTGGTGCTGGCATATGCA